GGAATAACGTAGGGCTTGCAGATGTTCATGACCTGTGCAGATGTTTTTTAACAACACTGTTTTATTTAGACTCGCAAAACACCAGTACGGTAATGTTGTCGATCATAGTGGATATCTGAACAAACCCAGCTGACGCACACGACTAACATGCGGCTAAGGGTCTACAATGCCTAAGCACATAGACAGAGAAAAATTCCCATAATCATAGCGGACAGCTCATCAAGCCCGGCGCACATCCATCTATACCAGGAAAATGTCGAGGGTCAACATTTTAGGAAATGAAATGTAGGATTTTAATTGGTCGTTTTTATTAGCACATGCGTCCTGCCGAGAAGCGTATTGCATTCTTTGTGAGACGAATAGTAGGCGGTACTTACCCCATGTAAGGAGCGCTTCAATGATGATAGTCTATTATAGTTTAATATAGGTCCTCGCATGAGGCGCTTGACTCAAACTCCCGGCCACAAGTCAAAAATACTTGGTGGAAAATGCGAGTGATTCGGATTTGACAGGACAAATCGCCTCAACCTGGGGGACCAGGAAATCGCATCCCTCGGACGCAGCCTTTGACCAGCCTCCTATGAGGGACCCTGTGCGTGTTCAGGGTTACCCGCGGTACAGCTCAGGGCGGCCGATATACGCAATCGTTACACTACGGTACGTTTCAGTCTCATCCTAACGAGCTTATTAGTGCACCCTGTTGTCAGGGAGAGGCGGGGGCGCTAAAATATTGACACTTTAATCCGTACCCAACATTATTTTGTAAATATAATGATTGAGTCAGAATTATTGCGCGGCGAATAGCGAGAGTCCGGCGTTTTGATTACTTTCATGCATTGCTGACAGTCATCGCCATTATGTGCTATTCAGACGGCAAATTACGGAAAAGCTGCAGGATCAACGTTTACTAGTCTGTCGTTGATTTTTCATTGAAAGCAATTGTTCTGTGTATACTCACGAATATACGGGATTTTATTTTTCTGTGTACGAAAGTGGGTATTATCCGGCTGTATATTTTCAAGAAGTACGAATTTCTAACTCACTTCCTATCGGCGTCGCCGGAATTCTGTGCTTCGCTAAAACGGTTTTTCAGCTGAGGATTGGCTCCGATGGGCGACTTCCTTATCGCTGTCGTTATTGTTCATTGTTGAAGAAAATTGACGCAAGCGATTGCGGGGAATAAACGTGAAAAATATAAAGGGTATGTTGGATAAAGCGAGGGAGAGATCTCATTTGAGGACATGGCACTAATTGTTCAACTCAGAAAAGGCGGTCGGTAAAGTATCGGTAAAAATGTTCAGCATAGATTCACATGTACAAGTGCTCGCAGCCGAAAAATGATTTTCTAAACGCAGTAGCCTTGAGCGCACCTAACACTTGCACACCAGGAAAAAGTGTTTGTCATGCTCGGACAGATATAAAAGCAGGTGGCAAGAATAAACACTCAACGCCCTTTGCCACACATAAAAACGCCTTAGAACCATGGAAAGCCCCAAATGAGGAGCAAATAGAAGTTGCTGACTGTGTGCTTAGTATGCACCAGCACAAGAAGTCTTAGGAGATTGAGGAAAGCATAACCCTCGAAGGCGGTGTGCCACTGCGACAAAGACCTTCTCGAGCTGTATTGCAACCTGATTATAACTAGCACAATCGGTACAATGGGTGATCCTGCATTACATTCACCATTCGTTTAATATTAACCAAATAACGACAATGGTTTTCACGACAGAAGATTATCTGGCCGTCATGACCACACCGGCTTCCTCCGACTCTCGATCTAAGTAAGTTTCATCGCAGCTGGATACCGTGGGTAAATGTCCAAGAAAACATATTCCGGAAACACAAGCCACCAACTGGAGAGAGTCGAAGAGACCAACTCTCGTTAACCGCGACTGTCAACGCTTTTGAGCAGACTGTTGCCTCAAGTAACTGTTGATTCCTGCTTGGCGTTCACATACGCGGCCCGGAATCGGATCTGAAGGCTGAGATATTAAGAGACCTTACAGAATGCAGAATCACTGATCACACTACGTAGTATCTGACGCTGTGTAGAAAGAAACTTTCTCAACGCGCATTCAACCGCATATGGATGTTTCATCTCTTGCCCGAGTTACCGAATTTGATGAAACTGATCAGGGCGTCTTTAGGTCGGCGCTAGTTGTTACAAACATATTTCCTGTGCGACTGTACAACCTTCCAAGTGTGGTTCGCTGGATATGGTTAAGCACGAGCAAATTCGGTAGCCTCAGTATTGCAATCTCAGTGATTTGAGGGGTTTTCAACGGGACACGCATCACCTCATCGAGCAGTTTCAGCATCTGATCGCGGTGGCTGCAAAGTTCCTCTTCCTTGATAATAAATAGGACACCTATGTCACGTTGCCAATCGGACCCTGAGGATTAATGAGTTTCTTGGTGAAGCAAAAGGTTTCGACTGTGACCGCGGTCGTCCGATATCCTCTTTATCCACACACCGCCAGTGCTTTCGTCCTTCGGATGATGGTCGTCATACCAAGTATTCCCAGCTCAATCACAAGGGCTTTAAGCTCCTCTTTAAGTTTAGCCCGACTTTTTGCACACATAGCCCAGTCATCAGCGAAGGCGAAATCATCCGCTCAGGTGTCATGAACCCGATATCCTGGTTGTCTTGTACGTCGTTTGGATGAACAATGTCAGAGAAAGTGGACCTCCCGTTCTCACCCAGGATTGGGAGAAACTGGGACACCATTTTCATGACTGTGTGATGTATAAAAGTGATGATACTCTGAACGACCCGGCACATCTGACACTATTGTCACGTTTTACCGAGCAAAACGCATCCGAGTTATCAACAAACGTGAAGCTAAGGTAAGAAGCAGTCGCCAAAAAGTGATGAAGCATCACATTAGCAGTGTCGCAGCCTCCTAACAATCGTCTGGATGTAGAAGAGAGAACATATGTGGGAGATTTTGCAATATATGGCTCTAGCGGTCAGCCAGCGCCCCATAAAAGCATCGACCTAGGGTGGATGACCCGGACGTTGGTCCCTGTTCGTCCGGTGAAGTCAGGTTTGGGACATTCGGAACGGACTTGATACAGGCAAAAGACGAGTGCTGTGGAAAACGTCCAGATAATAATATTGTGGACGACGAAGCGATGGCGTTGTCACTGAACTATCGAACTGGCCCAGATATAAGGAGGAAGTGTTCAGTAAACGAAACGCAATGCCATCTAGATCCAGTTCCAGCCGGACGGCAGAGCGGTTTTCATCGCTTTCACCTGAATAAGCATCCTTTGGTAATACGGGGTTGTGTTAGCTGAGATTGCAGAACAACCTTCCCAAAGATCCAAGAGCGTATCATTGTTGGTAACTTTCCGCGGTAATCTCCACAAATCCTAATATCCGTGATTTGGACTCGTGTGTAACTAGATGGAGCGGAAAAACCTCACTCCAAAATGTGCCATCCTCCGTCAATTCCGTATGTCATATCCGCGTGAAAAATGTTTTCGTCTGGATGGTGTTAAAACACCCGTAGACTACAGGGTTCTCACCGCACCATCATCACATAGGTGGCCGAATGTCACTCATCCTTTGCACAACAGTTTTCTCGCACAACAGAAAACCTGCTTCAATAATCAGGTGGAAAGCCCCTAAGTGCTTCTCAAATGTCCACTGTGTTCGAATGTTTTCCAACCATGTCTCAAGTAAACCTTGTTAATTCAATAAAATGTGTCCTGATGTAATGATTCACAACGTTCATTAGGCGGTTCTGTTTTCTGGAGACTCATCGGATGCCCATCAAACATTCATTAATTGTCTGTCTTAAGTTAGTCGATTGGCCTACAGGAAGTTTTTCTCCAGTCGGGTTATATCAGCCCAGTCGACGTCTTATTGTCGAAGCCGCAAACATTCCTCTCATACGCACACACTAAAAAACTAGACTATTATTGAAGGCTCAAATCCATTAGGTACCTGTGTAGTGGTCCGGCTACCCAATAAGTTAGCTTGCCAGGAGTGTGTGGCAAAGAAATAAAAATGATTACGCTAGGTTGGGTATACAAAAATAAATAGATCAGATGGAACAGACTCACTAACAATTGTTCTCTTTAAAATAGTTCGTCGTTGGCCCATGTCAGCGAATAAACAATAATCCAATTATGTTGGTCCAGAGATCTTCTGAACAGTTCCCACATATAATAGATTCCGAAGATGTCTGAAATGTTTTGGTACCAGAGCTAGTACATGAGACTCGCGAATGACCGCTGCAAGCGCGAGCGAAATCAGAAGAGATAGTCGAAGCACGTGACCACGCTTGTATTCTGTGAAATTGTACAAGTGCGCGTTTTTGTAGTTTTTCGTATTCAAACAAAAAACGGTTATGCAGTTGATGAAATACGTAGTGTTATAATGGAAGTAAAATAAAGGTACAAAACGCCACACCTGTACCCTGTCTATGGTGAGATCCAGACAGCGCCTGCATTCTCTTGTAGTCCCTCAAGTTCTTCCACTTTATAATGGAGTAAAATAAAGGTACAAAACGCCACACCTGTACCCTGTCTATGGTGAGATCCAGACAGCGCCTGCATTCTCTTGTAGTCCCTCAAGTTCTTCCACCCTTGAATTAAAACGGTGTTAGTGGACGCAAAATTATAAATGAAACAAAAAATTCGGATGACAAAAATGGGTGAAATAACAAACTGACGAGAAAAATGTATTTTGTGTAACTATTCACACCTGCACAGAATTGTACCAAGTTTACAGCTTGCCTACGAAGAAAAATGCTGCTCAACATGGAAGACTTCAGAATCAAATTGCATCCCAGCTGTTGACCCCGTGAAGTTCTCCTCGACCTCTACTTTCCTCCTAAGTGGGTCACTTTACGCTTACCTTACGCTTCCATATGAAACAATGGAACAAACATCGAATTTCATTCACTGCCTGCTTGCATCCAACTTGAACTGACTCTTCCCCTAGACTTTAAGTGTATCAAAAAACGCGCTTCATTACGGATTGTCCGCGCGATGAGCTCTGCGACGACGGATCCCATCTATACTCCGTTTTTCGGTGTGATCGGGGCAGTTTCAGCGGTTGTTTTCTGTGGTGAGTGGCTTTTCAGCAACCTTCGAGGTTTTTTAGCGCTGGGTGCTGCTTATGGCACCGCTAAAGCAGGAGCGGGCATATGTTCGATGGGGGTGATGAGGCCGGAGTTAATAATCAAGTCAATCATCCCGGTCGTCATGGCGGGTATAGTTGGAATCTATGGGCTGGTAGTCGCTGTGCTAATTGTACAACAGGATGCAAACATGAAAAAGATGGACAAGTAATGATGTTCTCTTGTTATCGTTGCATCATCCAACTTTTAGGTCACTATACCAATTGGGCGCTGGTCTTAGTGTAGGACTCAGTGGTCTTGGGGCAGGTTTCGCCATTGGAATTGTTGGTGATGCCGGTGTACGCGGTACTGCTCAACAGGCACGGTTATTCGTCGGTATGGTGCTTATTCTCATCTTCGCCGAAGTCCTCGGCTTGTACGGGTTGATCGTCGCACTGATGTTTTCCACAAAGTAACGCTTCCTTCGTTTGTCCATACGTTATTGCCACCTGTCGTGCCCACTGCCGTTCCTCCTGACCTTACCCAGATATTGATCTGTGTCGTCCGTGAAACGTTTCGAAGCTCTAGTTATCCACTTGCCCTCTAGCGGGCCCCAGCTTGTTTTTCACCCTGTCCAAACATTCCATTTTATTTGTCACTTCCGGTCTTGTTGGGTGTTGTCTACACTAGTGGACCCCCGATCTGCAATTTCGGTTTTGTGATTCAGTCCAAAGGCTAGGGCTATCATGTATCTGACGTGATTACATGACTTCGGTATTCTCCGCCACTAACCTGTTATTCATTGCGTTGCATAATTGTATCTAATCGATTTCAATGGTATTCTTGTCAGCAATATAAAGGACCTACTCAGAATGGTTTGTTGATTACTTAGACCGCTCCCAATTCGACATTCGACGCCTCACATGGTAAAATGAGTCTTGTCGATTTCTTGAGCTTGTGTACAGTGTCGCCTCTATATTCGTGTGATCTTGCAGTCGACAGGGTTGTCTCAAGAGCATATCAGTGTACGAAGATACCAACAGTGGTGACCAAGAAACTCTTATGATGGCTGCTGTAAGACATTAAGGAGGCTATTCACAGGTTTAAAGGAAATTCTAATATTTTAGGGGGTTTGAGGCGAAAAGCCTGGGAAATAGAGAGTTCTACAGGTGACAGCACCTTGGGGTAGTTGTGCTTTTGATTTGGTTTGTTCAAATTGCTACTATCGTAAACTCGAGTTGATTTCCTACTAGACTTTCTGCCCGCTGATAGGAATATATTCAGTTCCACGCAGTGGGAGAGTTTTGTCTAAAACCAGGGTGATCCCACTTTAGATAGGGACTTCGTCCTAAATGGTGAAAATCCCCATGTTTGTGATGATAATCAGGTCCTCATTTTCATATACTTCTGGCCTTGTCATAGTACGGTGAGTTCTCCAGAAGCTTTCCTACAGAAACTGTCGGCCGTCGGGGATGTCCACTATCTCCATTCCTGTTCATTTTTTTCATTGATAAGATGATGAGACGAACCCCGGTGTTTAAATTCTTGCTGGTGAAAACCTTATCGGTCTGGGGTATGTGCACGACATCGCACTCATTGAAGACGAATGCGCAGCAAAAGTTCTGTTGAATAAATTGACCACCACTTTTCCGCACGCGAATTCATGCTTCAACGCGCAGTCTGTGGACATACCTCTTGCACTTCAAGGAGAATCACTGGAGGTTACGGAGAATTTCACATACCCCGTTAGTTGTATCAGCTCTGACGGAAGTGAATTCTGTTGAAATCAGTGCACGAATCTCAGGCCCGAATCACATCTGCTGATTTGCGTCAATTGTGGCGTCAAAAAGGCATATCACTGCCTCAAGGGTCGCGCGTACCGTGCCACAGTAAGGGCTGTTGTACGGTTGCTAGACGTGGCCTCCGTGGACATATGTGAGGCGTTTTCACTACTGATGCTTCAAAAACGTTGCTAGTGTTGAATGGTGTCAATGATTTTGTAGCTCGGGGCATGCGAGGAGGACAAACCATGGAATGTCAATTGTGCAAAAAGGCATATCACTGCCTCAAGGGTCGCGCGTACCGTGCCACAGTAAGGGCTGTTGTACGGTTGCTAGACGTGGCCTCCGTGGACATATGTGAGGCGTTTTCACTACTGATGCTTCAAAAACGTTGCTAGTGTTGAATGGTGTCAATGATTTTGTAGCTCGGGGCATGCGAGGAGGACAAACCATGGAATCCGGAGCGCAATTCCCAGTTCGTGGCCCAGTTGACACTCACTTTTCAAGCCACAGCAAGCAAGCCACCGTATCTCTACTTGAGCGGTGCGCGATTCTACCCAGCTGCTACAGTTTCGATCACCGGAAAGCAGAGTAGAATATACAACCAAGCTTGAAGGTAATGGCACACCCGGTTAGTTCGGGAACTGGATAGATACGCTTTCAAGGCGATAGCTTTGATGCGCCAGTGCCATTGACTGCGCAGTTGGACCATTTCTGACAATTTCACCCATCGGTGAGTTGAGTCCCGGGGTCTCCATCCAGGAAGGCGACAGTTGCCGACCCAACTAAGTTTACTGGTTGGTGTTTTCGTACTTTGTTGCCAGGTCATACATATACACTGTCCACTTCTCGGTCGCTTCCGATCAGCATAGTGGTGGACAAAATAATCTCTGTGAGGCAGATGTTCTTCTGGCATGCGGAATACGTGTCCTAACCGGCGTAACCTATGGAACGTGAGTAACTCATCCGTCACAGGGGAATTCATTCTTCCTATAACCATCTGGCGTTTCTCAGCATTACCAACCTGATGTTCCCATCAGACGTGATGAATGCTTCGGAGACACCGATGGCCAAACACTGACATCTTCCGTATGTCGTCTGCGCGTAGGGGCCACGTTTCTGATCCATAAAGTAGTATGGATCGTACCATCGCAGTGTAAACCCTTCTTTTGACAGATAAACTGACGTGACGTTGGCGCCATAGGTGTCGGAGGTCAGCAACATTTGCCCTGGCCTTTCTGATTTGAGGGAAAAGTCTATCTTCAGGCAGTCCACCGGAATTTATACAGCTGTCCAGGTAAACATATTTATCCACTACATCGACTGCCTCTAGCCCTGTTTCGCCAGACTCATAGATCCGTTCGGTAACTCTTGAACGCTGGACATGCGTGACACTGAGGCATTCGACCAGTGGTGCAGGTGACAGCTACAGTGTTATCGAACAACGCGGCAGTTCATTTGAATCAAGTCAAGCATAGCGCACGAATCCTTGTCGTCATTGGTGCATGAACTGGTGCTTTGGATCCACGGAAACGGAATCTTTTTGTTCAAAAGTATTGGTGGACGATTTTCCGGTCACCCCCTGAGCAGGTTACCAACAATGGAAAAATGATGTTGGGTGATGATGGGTGGGTACCATCTGGGTGGTCCAGATGGTACACGCACTGACACGCTTCCGCTTATGAGTGGGATATCGTCTCTGTTTTGTCCAGAGTTATGATCTAAGGTTGGTTCATTAGCCACCCGTTGATGGTTTGAAATCACACTCTTCCTTCGATAGATAACTAATCGGGGCGAAGTGGCTCAGTGGTTAGAGCGCGAATTTACTGACCGGAAATTCCATGGTTCGAGCCCGACCTCTGCAACTCGATTTCCCCTGTCTAGGCTCGGGCAAACCTGGAAGTATCCCAGCTCGTGCTTCCTTTGGTTGGCATGACAGCTAGGCACCGAAAGGGTGTTACATCTGAACAACAACATAACTAATCTCCCATCGGTCTGGTTTTGTCGCTAGATACCCGCCCCAACCATCAATTTTACTGTACCTGTGGCGTATAGTTCTGTTAAACAGGACCCGTCTCAATACTGTACCCTACATCAATACTCCGAAGTGAGTACGCGCAGGCGTACTCCCAATACCCCCGCCAGACGATGCTTAGATGTTTATGACACTATTGGCAGCTCCGAAACTAAATATTTTGCTGGACATTTCCCACCTTTTTCCATGGGATGTGATCATCCGTGGACGGAAAAGCGTTTTTTCATCCAGCTTATTAAATTCTTAGATCAACAATTCTCAGGTACTTGCAGATCGACGAAACACAGCCTCTCTTCTTTGTAGCCGTGGTCTCGACTGGCGTTCTCCATAGAGTGTCAGTGCTATTCTCTCTCGTTTTATTTTGGGAAACCAGTTGCCCCTTCCAATTGATCATACCCGTCGCCATTCACTCTACCGGCACAACCAAACTCCTTTCACTTCTCTTCATCTTCACGAGTAGATAGGTACTTGATATCACAATTATGTTTTTACTCACTGTCTTTATCATGTTTCATCCTTTTGCAGACATTCTGTTGGCCTCCGTGCTTCCACCTTTTCGGCTTGCAGGTTTTCTACCCTCACTTTACACTTTGCAGGTGTGAAACGCATGCCAAACCATGAGGCGGAGTTGTTTAGGTTAACATCGGTTGCATTTGGTAAGGATCTGAACCAAGGGGAGCAGTGTTGTCTGCATACTCGATGTTTGTAAGAGAACTTACCGGGATTACTCCAACTCCGGAGATTTCAGAGGCAGGCAGAGAAATTTGAAGCAGCATATCAATGACAAAGTTCAAGAGGAAAGCTGAGAGAGAGAGCAGCCTTGTCTTGCACCCCTGAACGTGGTAAACTCAGACGAAAGCTTCCCTTATACTCGTACGCGTCCACAGGAGTTCGTATACAGTGCTCTCATAAGGAATATAACTTTCTAAGGAACATTCTTGATCGCCAGACATTGCCAAAGTTTCTGACGATCGACAGAATCAAAAACAGCTTTCAAATCAACGTGGAACGTCTGAGACAGTGGCGCCGTTGAAGAATTTGTCACAAGGTAAGGATGTCGTCGATACATCCTCGATCAGGTCGAAACCCAGCTTGGTTCTCATAAATCTGTCTCTCCTGGTAATCGATCAAACTTTGAGAAATAGTGTCAGAGGGCATCTTAGATGCGACGGATATTAGACTGACACTTCGGGCGGTTGGTTGAAGGTCGGTGTTGAAGGAGACCAGCTGAACTGTTTTTGAAGTGCTCAGTCCACCGCTCAAGACTGGTTGAGGGAATGAATTGCTTTTCCGTCTTTTTCGCATATCGTCTCACTGACACTTGTTTTCTTCTGAGCGGTTAATCGAATCGGCCGAAATGGGACGCGGCTGTTGCCTGCAGCGAAAGCCTTCCCATCTTCTTGGCCTTCGAAATCCACTGGTGTTCTCTCATTATTCAAGCTCCTGATTATCCGATGTTTGAGGGATCAGTGTCCGCCATCACAGCCGTTAGTTGCTGGTATGGCCTTTCTGGCAGCAACGAGATCTGCTGATCTCGACGACATCCAGTGTTCATTCAGTCGAGTTAGCTGGCCTAGACAAGAATTTGCAAAAGCTGTATACTATACCATATCCGTCCTTACCGACCGAGACGATCTTGACATCTTGATAAAACTCTTCC